AGGCCTTTCCGGTTCTAATGGTAGTAAAATCATTAAAATCGGGCCAGTAGTTTTTTTTTAAAAGTAGATAAATTTTGGCTAAATTTGGATATATATATATTAGGAACTACTGGTCCGAGTTTGATGATTTTACTACCATTAGAACCGGAATGGCCTGATGAACAACTTTTATTAAGGTCAAAATAAGGATTTACTTAATAAAAATATCTCTTTCGGAGCACTTTTTGATATCTGGGGGTGGCATTAACAAAAATGGGGGTGGCAATAACAAGTCTCTAAAAATAAAACCTAATATTACTTATTAAAAAAAGTTATTTTTTATTAAATTAGTCTTTTTCAAATCCTAACCAAGTTGTAAAGCTAGTTTTTGTGATCTAATAATAGTAAAAGTAAAATTAGTAAAATTTACCTAGTAATTCTTGAGGTATCTTAAACCAATTTTACTGTATATAATTATAAAAAGAAAGTTAAAATATTTCAAGAACTACTAGGCCGATTTTACTAAGCTTGCTAACATTAGAATCACAAAAATTAGATCTCATATGGGTGGAAATTTTTAGTAGAGTGCTGTTACTATATAAAATTAGGTGATTATAAAAACTGATAAGTAACGGATCAATTTTGATAAGTAATGGATCAATTTTGGATCATTCTGTTTTTTTTTAGTTTATACTGCTCATAAAAACTGATAAGTAACTGATAGTAACTGATAAGTAACTCATAAGTAACTCATAAGTAACTCATAAGCAGTTTTACAATCACCGACAAATAATCACTTTTAATATTAGTAATCCCACTGTATCATATATTTTATTGGCTCAAATCCTATTTAATCTCATCATTCAACTTAAATAATCACAAACTAATCACAAAATTGAAGATATCCGCCCATATGTACAACTTTTGTTAAAATTTAAGCGACACTACTGTAAGACTTATATTAAATATGCCTCCGATTTTATTATAAAAAAATATAGTTCTTAGTAAATCACTAATTAAAAATTTAGCCTCTAAAAATATCGACTTTTATTAGTAATAAGTTAACTTCGTCATAATGTCCACATTCACCTTATATTTTATTATTGATACGTATAAAAAAAAATTATACGTACCAGACTTTATTAAAATTATTTTAAACTTTATCTGTAAATAATAAAAATTTTTATTAAAATTTTATTCTTAATCAATAAATCTATTTTTGCTTTATAAAAAAAGAAACACAGGTAATAAGGTGACAAAAAAGTTTTGACTGCAGTTAACGTAGTATTATTACATGGTTATTGAAATATAACTTCGACTGACGCTAGGGGCATAATCGGACAAGTAATTGACATCAATGGCGTAACTTTGTTTCGATATAACTGAACGTTACATAACATATTAAATTCGATTAGCTCAATTTGATTATATTTTTCGTACGTACGTAGTATGTAGTATTGGGCATTAGGCTAATTTTGTCCACCGAATATTACTTATTAATCATAATATGTCTGACAAACTTTTTTTTTAAACCAATATTTTGTTATGTTATTATGTATGTACAGTACGTACTTTAACGTTAAGCAAGCATAATAATAATTATTGTTTTTTATACTAATTATGGAGAGAATGAGAACAATAGTATATAATAATATAGATGCGTACGTACTGTACGTAGCTGATGAAATTTGACAAAGAAACGAATTCTTAATTTTGTCATTCCATCATTTGCTCGAGATGTATGTTGGATTTACACAAAATAAATGCATTAGAAACTTTGATTGGAAATTCTTTGTCTTTTGAGTACATGACGTAAATAATCGTCAATGCGTTTAAATTTGGTTAACATGTGAATGAACTTAATATGAATAGGCGCAATAAAGCGTTATTCGTGATATATTTCTGGATTTAAAACATATCGATTTATATATTTACCCAAATATTGTAAATAAAAATTATTTTTGGTGAATTGGTTCAAATTATGCTAAAAATGGGATTATTGATGGAAATATGAATAAAGATAATTTTTTATTTATAACAGACCACCGGTCATGTGATTTGATATTACAAAACTATGCAAAACAACCAGTTAAATCATCTTGATGATTTTAAAGTACAATGGCGATTGAAAGAAAAAAATATATGCGTAGTAGGTGTGTGAATAAGAGGAAAAGAAAGGACGTTTGTTATTGCGGTCACAATAAAAAGTAAATGTCAATACTGTTACAATTTAATAATTTCTATAATTCATAAGTAAAAAATATAATTAAATAAGGGTAATATTTGTATAAGGGTTTTGGTGACCATAAAGTAATTAAATGAAAAAATCAACTAATTTTAATAAATATTTACAACAAACAATAAATATAACATAATTTATAAACCAGAATCATTCTATCCATAAGGTATATGAATTATAATGATCAGGAAGCCCCGAAACTTGGATCTTCGACCACATAATTACTTGGGAATAAACCTTGTATAAAATTGCCGGTTCCTATAGGTCACAAGTGTATCATCATATTAGTTATAATTAATTAATTAATGAGAAGCTCGATAAAAAGTTAACATACCGTCATCTTTCCATCCTAACCACCACACTTCATCGCTAGTATCCACAACATAAATCGTATCCCCAACGTGAAAATCTAATTCTCCTTCTTCTTTTGCAACAAATGGATATCTTGCATAGTATTGTCGTGCTTCTGGATGATTGGCTAAGAAAGCTCGGGCTGCCCTGGCTCTGTCTGCGGCAGAGATCTCTTGTTTTTCTGATTTTGGTCCCAATTCAGATGCTGCAACTGCTGCAACACCGGCTCCTCCCATAAAATCAGTAGATTTTTCATCAGAAGGTACTGCAGAGTTTCTAACGTTACTAGATGTTACTGATTGTCGAGGTTCACTCTGTTGTGCTATTATTGAATTTATGGTAGCGAATAATTCTTCTCCTCGAAGTGCTGCTTTTCCTGAATCTCTTGGGCTGGTCTTTAAACTACCCCTTGCCTTTCGTTGTCTCCTAAAATCGTAAGCTAAACCAGCTCCAACAATTAAGAATACAATGAAAAATGCTATTGCCGCAGAAATCAATATGACTATCGGAACCGGTAAGAATCCTGTATAGTATAAATAAATTTTTGAAAGTTTAGAAAATACTTAAAATATTTGCAATCATTTGTTCTTTCTTTATTAAAAATAAAATAAAAAATAAAAAAATAAAACATGCCATGTATGGCCAACAGTTCAGGAATAATGTTCGTAAAGATTGACAGGATGAAGCCTGGTTTTCCTTGGTTTGATGCTAATAAGAAAGGATAAATCGTATTTCCATCGAACAAAGCAGCGCTAACATCACCATATTCATTTAATTTGAGCGACCCGCTGATTAGAAGCAACCATTTGGGATCCAAAATGTCATTATTAGAATGAGAACTGCTTGTAGGAACTAATGCCATTTGGTTTATCACGGAGCCTTGTAAGAGCTGCGGATTGACGTTTACGTATTTGGATCCATCCCATTTTCGTATATAAGCTTCACCAGTGTTATCAACAGTTCCAGAAACAAAATATTGTCGATTGTTCGAAAGAAAGTAATTAATGACTATATTTGGAGGTCCAGGAAGTTGTGTATCACCACTACCCTGTGTGCCTTGTTCTTGCCATATGTTTCGACTAAAATCATACTCGGCAACATAGACTGGTCCTTTCCCGACAAGTGTCAGATTTCCAACGACAACAAGGAAATTTTGGCTTTGACTTGTCTAAATAAGACAATGTAAAAATAAACAAATGGTAAATAAAATTGTATATATATATATATGGTGATTAATTATTTGATGTTGGGTTACTCACTCCTACAAAGTCCGCCGAAACAACTTCACCTGAAAGAGACGAGTTTAACGCTTTAAATTGTCCCGAAATAGAATTCCATGAGCAAATATATGAACAGCTCGATTGACCAGCCTTATCAAACTTGCCGGCAACAATGTAATCATCTGTACCAGCCCGATATTTTATAACATTGACTCTAACGATGTTATCGTTGGCTAAAAAAAAATGCGAAAAAAAAAGGAATTAACCATATAAACATATAATTTATAAATATAATAAAACCATATAAAGTTACCTGTCAATGTTTGTGGATATGTTATATCACTGTTTAAATTGTAAACAGCAAAAGCACTGCCACCTATACCATCAAGTTCGCTTCCAACAAACAAAATATCATTTCTAAGAACAAGAACTTTGACCTCTCCTTGAAAATTGGATGGTGACATACCCCTCCATACATTATTATCCAATATGGCTACGTTAACTATATTATCGATTTGGAATTTTCCACCAATTGCAGTAAAAGTTTTATTACTTTTAGTATCATTCGATTGTACTGCGCTGTTAATGATAAAATCTGATATAACGCCATTTGTAGCTTGCGGAAACAAGGGAAGCGACTTATATCCAGATTGGGTAATTAGACCTCCACCAGACGACAAAATAGATTGCGTAGAATTCATTCTGCCACCCCAAAAAGTTAAAGGTCCGGTTTGAGAACTTGGAATATTATAAGCTACAATATCACCAATTAAACCATCTATATATCCTGTATTAACCCAATTTCCTAAATTATTGTCCCACATGCCGTAGCCAAAAGTTGCATTACCAGTTATGGTATTCTGGGTGGAAGGTTTTATTAAGGTGTCGAATTTACCAGCAACATGTATTTGTGGTGCTCCATTATTGACCAAAGCTATACGATTTACTTCATCGTTGACACCACCACTAATAGGATACCAGTTTTGTTCATTAAGGTTATATCTCGCGATATTATTCAATCCAGATAAGGTCCCGTTGGCCAAGTTACTAAATAACCCACCGACGAATAAATCGTTATCAATTAGAACCATCGTATTAACATGACCATTGAGTCCCGAGTTTTTAGGAGGAATAAAATTTTTGCCATCATAGAACACAATATTGGAAAATGAAAGATTATTGAAACTACCACCAATTACTATTGTTGTTGGTGATAACACAACTATATCATTTATTATGGATTTTGGAATCAACAGGCCTAATATATTATAAAAAAAAAAAACATATGAAGAAAAGATTATCGAATGTATGAAACATGGTGCACGAATAGATATTGATACAACGTACCGTTAAATCCATACCATGCGGCTTGAGCTGTGGATGTTGGCGGTGAATATTGGAACAAGCCACTCAACGAGTTACTATTATTCATCTTTGTGCACTGAATATAATCGACATATATGATAGCATCACTACCATCGCTAGGTGCCACAGCTGACTTTGAAACAGTAATTTCAACAGTTGGCTGAAAACTCGCTGATGTTCCAAGAACATAACCAGAATAGATAGTGTGGACAGTGTTAGTATCAGTTGAATTCTGTGTTATAGTTACTACTGATGATACACCCGGGGAGGATGTAAAGTTAACATCAATAGGTATGACGCTGCCACACCCAACTGAAACGCAAGACGGTGAATTGAGAGTAACATTATAGTAACCAGCCTGCGGGATATATGGTTTCATTATAAGTTTTGCTGTGCTATTAGCTATCTCTGCCGCAGGGACTGTAGTTTCTAATACATTATCCCAAACTCCGGGAAGTAATTGAGCAGTCCAGTTTCCAACGGTTGTTGTGTTCGAATAAATTGAAGAGCTTGAAGAGTTTGAACACGTAGGGGAGTTATAACTACTAATCCCACGAACAGTAATGTCTAATATAATTGAGAAAAATATTAGAAAGATAACAAATCATACACATCAAAATATATAAAAGTTTTTCGTACCACTTTGATATAGTTGAATGCCATGAAGTCCACCTCCTTGACCATAATAATCTAAAATTATGATCTCTATGCTCCTCAAGGTTGTCGGATTAACGAAATTAAATAATTGATAATCAGTATTAGAAGGATCCAAGGGACATGAATTCGAGCAAGTCAACGTAGTTCCATTGGTAGTGTTCGTATACGAAAGAGTAATTAAGGCATTATCTGGAAGGGAAATCAACCTAGCATTGATAATAAACAGACATTAAATTACAAATGAATGCTATTAGAAACATCATATACTCTATCGATTCACAGAATAACCAAAATAAATATTCATTCTACATACGCACGATTCTTGTAGCTATCGAATCGTATATTTACCTAAACGTCTTTGTTCCCCTTCCTTGATAGTTAGTATTCTTGAGACCAATTGCTGTGGGCGTTATATCATAATCAAATCTTATTCGTAATAGACCCACTGCGTTGTCCTCCAATAACCATGTATTTCTCGGTCCATCAGGCTCATTACTGCATATTAATACTGATGGATCAGTAAAATTTGTGAGAGTTGCCGAATTTCCATCAGATAACTTTTAAAAAACAAAAAGTAAGGTTAGAAGTAAAGATCAACATTGAGAACAAAGTAACGATTAAAATACTCACAGTAGCATTTTGTAAACCTATTGGTTGTGTATTATTAGGCAAAGTACCAAAATTACCATCACTAGTAGCATCGAATTGACCACCAAAATAAACAGTATTATTCTGTACATTATATGCGATAGTATATACCGGACCATTAAATCCCTTAAAAGGGAGAGCCGACCAAGATGAATTTCCTACATGCCATATCGCCACACTACCACCAAAATCTGAGATATTTAAACCATGTGCAGCAGGATTTACTGGAGTGACGAATTCACCACCAACATAAACCAATGAATTATTGTTATCACAGTACAGAGAGTGAACCGAATTATCCAAACCTTCCATAAGCGCGTAAAATGTTCGACTAGCGGGATCATAACGCGCAATATTATTAAATGTTTTATTATCAATTGTAGTAAATTTACCACCAATATATACATCGATATTATAAAGATCATTTTGAGACCGGGGCATTACACATAGCGCATTAATTGTTCCATTATATGAGGTAGAACCGGAAAGTTGAAAGGTACCGTTTGGCGGCTGAGTTATTAAGGATGCAGTCATTACGTTATAAACCTCTTGTTCGCTCAAGTCACCATTATATAACGATAACCCATCATATTGTCCAGCTACCAATATCTGTGCACCTTTGTAATTCACGTTCAGCGTCTGTGCTGAAACGGTAACAATGGTCTGACATATTATCGTACAATACGTTAGTATCGTTAAAAGGTTACTATAATTATGTATTATCTTCATCCTATTAACATGGGTAAAAGTTTTGAATGCCTCTTTAATTTGTCCGAATTCGATGCAATGTTTCCTCCTCTACTTTTTTATTTACAAATATTTGATATCTATTACAGGTAAAATAAAAAATGCCTAAGTAAATTTTCTGAAGAGCTTACGCCAATAATAAAATTCAGTGCTATTTAAATTAAAATGACATAAAATTGAAATATCTTACTAAATTAAATACGTCTATTTTACTTTTATTAATATTTCCTATATCATATACGAGCGTGATGCAATGAACCAAGTAGGGTTTCTTTGAACTTCAACCCCTCTTCCGGTGTGCCTGACTAGTGAGACTGGTGAGACTAGTAAGGAACAACTTTTTTTTTTTTTTTTTTTTTTTCAGGTTCAAAGTTGAGAAGAGGTGCAGGTACTGCAAGGTCGGTTGGTTGTTAAGCCATTAACCAGCGACACTGTATAAAAAAAAAAAAAAAAAAAAAAAGCTTATAAAAATTTTCGGTATCCCGACTATATCTCACAAACAGCCAAATTGATCGTACACTGTTCAAATAGATTTATTGTACAAAATGTTAAGTACAAAAACCCGATTCAGTCAAGTGTACTAATGTGAAACGATCGACTATTTAAACTTGTATAATTATGTGTGTAGGTACCATTATTATCAATGACTACAGTAAATTGAAAATTTATAGTGTGCACCTTTTTTTTTTTATTGTGTTTGCTTTCTCCCATAACGATAATGATCTAGATAAATGCGGAAATAAAACTGGATACCTAGGATGGGTTTGCATTCTGCAAGTCAAAACGGGAAAAAACAAAAGAGCAAGGTTTTTTCGCTTTTGGCAGAAACAAGTTCTGCAGGGATTCAGCCCTGAATCTTATATTACTATCTCCCGTGTGCTAAAGAACACACGTGATCACGTTTTATACGTTCCCATATAATAATTTATCAATTGTCAATCATTTGCAGCATTTTTAGATCTATTCAAATAAATAATAACTCGGGAAACCTTGAAGCTACGTCAATACGTCATCTCGATCCAGAATCTAAAATCTTTCACGAAATCTTCGCCTCAAGCCAAAAAAGGTATTATTCCTGCAACATGTGAAATTTCAATCCTCATGATGAAAAAACAGGTATTACCCAAGTGGTTACGTACGTACGTACGTACCTAACCATTGTGTCGGAATTTTTTACACTAATACAAAAAAGTGAGAAATCAAATCGGCCACTAATAACGCATGAACATAATTGAATTATCTAGCCATTAAAGTAAATAATAAAGCGTTGTCCGATCATGTATAAATGTGATATGGATATCTGTTAAATTTCGACATAACGATAATATAACGTATATTATATACCTTCTAACATGCTGCAAGAGGAATTCCAAGGCTATAATTTTAGCCTAAAGAGTTCTTAAAGCGAGTTTTATAATAGTAAGTAGTCTAAACGGCATATTAAATGCATCTCGAATATGACAACATTTTTAAAGATTTCAAACGCGCCCAGAGCAAAGTCCGGGGTAAATTAATTCCGTCGGGTGAATTAGCTGGTTTAATCTTCAAATGAGTTCAATAAGGAACAGTACTGTATACTTATTACCAAAGTACCCTAAAAGAGGCGTTCGTACGTACGTACGTACGTACAAAGTTAGTCCATATAAAGCTGTCAATCGAGTTTCACTTCTCTTGTATGCATTAGTCGATCACCGCCTTATACATATTCAATTTACACCAGCAACGTCCCAGTCAATGTATTATCATTTCATTATTCATTAGACAGTAATACAGGATGCTAATTATTTACATACTAAATAAATTATGATTTGACAATCTTTATCTTCTGATTTATTGATCACTGACAAAAATAAAATGTGATATATTTTATTTAATTTTGACGTTTATAGTTAGTTACACTTGTTTAAGATAAACAATTGTGCAAAATACCATCAATCCTATCACACCATTCATAACGATTACACTAAATACTACACATATTTTTAATTCAACCCCAACAATAACTCTTGTAATAGCTTGTCATAGCTTTGTCGTGTAACATCGGGAACATTTAATTTTAGAGATTTATACTATAAAAAGCTATTTTTTTTTATGCATGTATATATTTTGAATTGTATTTATCACTTAATTTATATAACAATGATTTGCATCAAGTAAAGAAAATTTTTATATATCGATCGCTTAATAATTATACTTAAATGTACAATATAGACATTTGTGATTTGTTATAGGCAAAATACGTAATGTAATAGATCTTTAATTAAGCTTTCTATTTTTGCATTACAATTGTGCGCATAATTTAATTATTCAAATACGTATATATACATATATATATATATATATATTTAATATAAAAACAATATTTAAAATATACTGTACTGTAGTATAATCTAAAATTTTTATAACTTTAAACAAGAATAACTTAATAAAAACTTAACAAACTTAATAAACCCTTTTTTTTAAATAATTTTTACAAACTTGTAAAATTAATTTAAAAAAATTTTATTAAATTTGGTTAAGTTATTCTTGTTTAAAGTTTTAAAAAAATTTATTAAAAAATATTTGCTTGATTTCTATTGACTCAACCCTATATATATAT